GGGGGAGGGCTTCTCAGAAGCACCCCTGCTTCTAAGAAGCCCTCCCCCCTCCCCCCACCTCTTTGTGCGCGCCGCCTAGGGAAGGTATTGGAAGTGGTGGGGGGGAAGACGAGCGTCCAGAACATGTGAACGACTACGGGGGATCCTGGGATCTGTGTCTATCTACTTGCGTGTCCCTGGGCCCCTGCAGGCAGATCGCCGAACGCGATGCGGTATAGTAGCGCCTTGCGCGCCTGTGTTGCGTCTCCCTGGCGGCCCCAAAGCAGCCGCGCACCAAAGGCCACTCTTGCCCAAGGCCACTCGGCCACGCGCAGCGGGGGGGTAGGGGGATGGGGGTAGGGGGATGGGGGTAGGGTCTCTGACGGCGTACCGGATGTCCGGTAACAAAGTGCTCACACGTAGGGGGATGGGGGGAGGCTTCTTATAGGCGCCCCTGCTCCTTCGAAGGCGCGGGCCTTACCTCTAGATGTAAGGCCGGCGCTTTCTTAGAAGCGGCCGCATTCTAAGGCTAAGTCGGGCATGCCCCTCTACAGGAGGAATATTCAAATTTAGTCAACAAATGGTCTGGGGACGATTTTTCTAACATGGTTGACAATGTTTTGAACATTTTTGATCATTGTCCATGTTTCTTCCAAAACCCGCCTGTAGGAGGACAGGCCCGACCTAATTCTAAGAAGCCTTCCCCCCTCCCCCATACCCCCCTTTGTGCGCGCCGCCAGGGCCACTGGCCACTCCCTTCGGGTCGGGCGAAAGGGGGGGATTGGGAAAGGGGGGGTTACGAAATCTGCTGCATGCAGCTGATTTCGGCCTCACCGAGGGGCCCATTCCTCGATACATAGTCGCCTCCCGGCGCCGGGAGGCGCCGGGAAAATCAGCTACGTGAGCCGATTCTCACCCCCCCCCTTTGCTATCCCCCCTTTCGCCCGACCCGATCCCTGCGTGTCGCCGAGGCATGGCCTACAGGGACACGGACGTGCAGCAGGGCGCGCCCACGGACGCCTTCCGCCGCCTGCGCGGCGCCGTCGAGGGCCTCGCGGCGGCCACGGCCGCCGCGGCCGGCCCGAGCGAGGCCGCCGACCGCCGCGGGGGCCTCGCCATCCCCGACTGCGGCGCCTGAAGGTCGGAGGAGGCACCCACTAAAACGACGCGAAGATCGGGACAAAATCGGATCGGGATAACTCGAAATCTCTGAGAATCGGCGGGTTTGGTGGATGTATTGGGCGCCGCGGCCGCTCCAGAGCGTTCCGGAACGCTCTGAGAGCGCTCCGGAACGCTCTGGAGCGATTTATCCCGATCCTAGCCCTGTTTTATCGAAGGAGGCACCCACTGGACTCGTGTGATGTTCCAACCTACTTTAGCCTTGGCCACCAGGAAGAAGTTCGAGCGCCAGGAAAGGACCGAGGCTGGAGGGTTCTCACGTGTCGGGCCCTGGGAGGCGAGACTCGTTCGACGCTGTTTCGATACTTTTTCTTGGGTGCTCGAAATGATTTTTGGGATTTGGTCCTTTGGTCCTTCAGTGCGATGGGAGCAACATAACACCGTACATCCGTAATATACCGCTCCTGGCTAGGCCGATCCGGGGCCCAGGATCGGGGTGCCGATGCGGCCGCCCTTGCCTCGTTGTCGCCTCCCGGGGCCTCGCTGGGAGGCCCGTTGTCGCCGGCGCTGGGCTCGCCTCGAAATTCTGGTCAGAACGCATTCCTCCTGGCATCGCTCGGACGTGTGCATTTTTTTCTCGGCGAGGACCGTCGAGGAGCATCCTTGAGCATTTGGCGAAAAAACCACGCACGAGACCGACAAAAAACACAGGAAATGGACGTCCGAGCGGTGGCCAGTCCTGGGAGGGGCCCGTGGAGGAGCGGTGCCGGTGCATGCCTTCCTGCCCAGGCCAGCAGGGCGCGTGCACGGATCCTGGGCCCAGGACGGGCCTGGCCAGGACCAGTGCACACAGCAGGCCTGGATCACCTGGGTCGACCCTGTCACATCAAGGGCAATTGCCTTTGCATCCTGCGCCTCGCCAGCCATGCCTCCTACACCCCTGTGTCCTCTCGCGTGTCCTGTCCAGTCCAGTCCGACTGCAGTCGGGTATAGCCAGGACCCCAGGTTAGGGGACCCGGGACCCGGTTAGTGGTAGAGCCTCAGATCCCCTGAATTGGCCAGAATCACTCAGCCAGGTCTGCCGCAACTCATGTTTTTGTTCGGGTGACGTCCGTTCCGGTTCGTGGAACGGGGCGGAGGGGCGTCCCCCACGAAACCCCGTTTTGCCAACGCCCGATGCAGGTGTGCAGTCGGCTTCCTCCCCGAGGGCGCCTCCGGCGACTCGTCAGCCCTGGCCGCGGCGCGGCGCCGCGCGGCCGCCGGCCTGTGGGGGGCGGCCTCCGCCGGCCTGTGGGGGGCGGCCGCCTTCCTGGCTGCACGGTGATCGCCCTCGGTGGGAGACCGCGTAGAATACCACCAAGCCCTCGGCCACATACAATAGCAGGAAGCCGCACTCGCAGAAAAGCAGCGCCGCAGGCGCTTGGATGCCGGCGCTGGGATGCACAGGCGGTGGATGTTATACAATAGCATGGAGGGCGATGAGAATGATGATGGTGGTGATGATGCTGATGGTGATGGTGTTGCTGGTGCTGATGATGATGATGCTGATGCTGCTGCTGATGATGATCATGCTGATGCAGATGACGATGGTGATGACGCTGATGATGGTGACGATGGTGGTGCTGGTGATGGTGGTGATGGTGGTGCTGGTGGTGGTGATGATGATGATGATGGCGTGGGTGATGATGATGATGATGATGATGATGATGATGATGATGATGATGATGGTGATGGTGATGGTGATGGTGATGGTGATGGTGATGACGATGATGCTGTGGCATATGACGAAACTTATGATGATGAAAATGATAATGCTGATGCTGGTGCTGATGCTGCTGCTGATGATGATGCTCATGCTGATGACGATGACGATGACGATGGCGGTTATGATAATGATGATGATGATGATGATGATGATGATGATGATGATGATGATGATGATGATGATGATGATGATGATGATGATGATGATGCTGATGCTGCTGCTGATGATGATGATGATGATGATGATGATGATGATGATGACGATTATGATGATGACGGCTCTGACGACGATGATGACGATGACGATGACGACGTCGATGACGATGTTGTCGGTGATGGTGATGTTGATGACGATGCTGACGATGATGATGATGCTGATGATGATGATGATAATTATGATGCTCATGATAATGCTGATGCTGTTGGTGATAATGATGAGGATGCTATGCTGCTGATGATGTTATGGTGATGATGATAATTATGGTGATGATAATGGTGATGACGGCGGCAACGACGATGGTGGTAGTGATGCCGATTATGCTTCTGATGGGGATGCTGATCAGGACAATGACGCTGCTTCTGCTGCTGATGATGACGATTCTGATGATGATGATGATGATGAGGAGGAGGAGGAGGAGGAGGAGGAGGAGGAGGAGGAGGGGAAGGAGGATGATGAGGAGGAGCAGGATAAGGACGAGGACGAGGACGAGGATGAGGAGGAGGCGGAGGACTACACAAGGGGTAGGCGAAGGAGGAGTAGAAGGAGGTATACGGGTATTTTCGTCCCCCGTGTGATGCGGCTTCGCTCGGCTGCCGAGCATGGTGCATGTTGAGATTCTCGAGTGCACCCTTGTAGTTTTCAGCAACCCGAAGGTCGGCCAGGCGTCACTACTGCCCTGCGCTCCTTCAGGGCTGTGTTGGTAGCGTGCTCGGTGGGTTTTTTGGGGCCCTCGCCAGAAGGGCACCAACGTGGCTTCACTGTGGTCACGCCATGGGCCTGGCGTCCCCGAGGGTTGTTCGGGAGTCGCGCATGCTGGGTGCGGAGGTCCTCGCGCCGAGGACCTCCAGCCCCAGCGTTGGCCCGACATCCCTTTGTGCAAAGGGGGGGGGGGCCTCCAGCGAACGTTGGCCCCCCCGCCGTGAGGGCCTCAGCATGGCCTGCGCGTGTGCCTGCAGCTCTCCAGTGCTATTTGGGGATCGCGTCCGGTGAGCTTTTGGCTGCCCTGGGCCAGAGGGCCTCACCATGCCCGAAGTACACGTAGCCCCATCATGGAGCAATGGGGGGGAACCGCATCTGGTTGATGTCGTGATGGGGCCTCAGCCTGGCCTCACATTGGCCTGGAAGTCCCTGCGGGCAGTTGGGAACTTCGTCGAATGGATGTGGAGGCTCTCGCCTCCAAGGGTTCAGCATGGCCTCCTCTTGGCTGCCGAACGGCACCACAGCGGCTCCATATCGCCTTTGTTCGACGTTAAGGCCCTTGCCGGACTGCCTGAGCGCGGCGGTGGCGTCCACATAGATACATTCCCAGCGCGCGTCCAGATGGCCCGCTACACAGCGCAACAACGGCTGCCATTGCACAGGACAGGCGCAGGACCCGCGCATTCTGTACGTTTGCGCCCTCGTCTGCCAGTCTGGATTTCGCGACGAGGCAAGCATTGGAGGAATTTCCGTTCACTAGTGGCATCATACGCACAAGTCGGCTCGTGGTGCTTTACATCGCTTCGCTTTATTTCGCTTTGCGTTGCTTTGCCCCCTGGTGCGTTGCGTTGCCATTGCAGTGTGGTGCGTGGTGTTTCTTGCTTTTGGTTGTGATCAAGTTCGGGTTTGCTTTGCATTGTTGTTTCGATGGAGGTGCATTATTTGGTTCACGCTGCGTACGTAAAGGGTACAGATCAGCGGAGCGCAGCACATCACATAGCTTGTATAGCTTTGCATGCCGCCGCTGCAGTGCAAGGGAAGCATAGACCTGAAAATCAATGCAGTAATTATTCTGTCCAGCGCTGCGCAAACCAGCACAGGGATGCAATGTAATGTACTGCACATGCAAACCAGCACAGAGCAGCACAACGACCGCAGTGCATCGCAGCACAGCGCGCATCAAAACCTGCCAGGGAAAGTCGAGCCACACCCAAAGCACCACCCCGGGGAATCTGCGGGTGCCAAGGACTCTGAACGCCACGGGCCTCCCTGCGACACGGAGATCATCGGCGGCCAGCTCGGAGGGGACGTGAGAGGGGGCGGCCCTTTTCGGAAGGCTCGGAAGTTCTCCAGCCTTCTCCTCCTCCTCCTCCTCCTCCTCTTCCTCCTCCTCCTCCTTTTCCTCCTCCTCCTCCTCCCCCTCCCCCTCCTCCTCCTCCTCCTCCTCCTCCTCCTCCTCCTCCTCAGAGCCTTCCCCGCAGGCACAGACGTTTCAGAAGTTCGGAGGGTTTCTGGCATGCCCCGCGGCCTTTGGGAAGGCTTCCTCCTCCTCGCTTCGCCCCCTCGCTCGCCGCCGTGACGAAGCACGGCCGCTCTTGGGCAGAGGCCTCCTGGGAGCTGTTGAGTGATCCAACTGGGCCAAGAATCCAGCAGAGGAGTTTACGAACTGTCCACCGAGGAAGGCCGCCCAACACCCTTCTCATCCCGCCTCCCTGAGAGAGGAGGGAGAGGGAGAGAGAGAACGAGAGAGAAAGAGAGAGATAGAGAGGGAGAGACAGAGAGGGAGAGAACGAGAGAGAGAGAGAGATACACACACATATATATATATATACATACAGAGAGAGTGGTTACGAGCGATATATACAGAGAGAGAGAGAGAGAGACAGAGACAGAGATGGAGAGAGAGAGGGAGAGGGAGGGAGAGAGAGAGAGAGAGAGGGCGAGACAGGGCGAGAGAGAGAGAGAGACGACAAGCCCGGGAGCACTGCCCAGGTCGGCCCCCATTTCTCCGGGAGCCCCAGGGCGGCGCGGGCACCGGCGAGGGGCGTCGGGCGCCCAAGAGCTGGGCGACGAGCAGGAGCAGGAGCACGACGAGGAGGACGAGGACGACGAGGAGAACGACGAGGACGAGGAGGACGACGAGGACGAGGAGGACGAGGAGAAGGAGAACGACGAGGACGAGGACGACGAGGAGAACGACGAGGACGACGAGGAGGACGAGGAGAAGGAGAACGACGAGGAGAAGGAGCACGACGAGGACGACGAGGAGGGCGGGGAGTCGAGAGGGCCGGAGCGGCGAGCGGAGGGGCGGAGGGCCGAGCGGAGCAGGAGAAGCTCAGCCCGCGCAAGCCGCCGGAGTGGGAGACCTGGGAGAAGGCCCGGGGGCGGCACCGCTCCAGCTGCTGCTGCTCCGCCTCGTGGTCGTCCTCGTCCGTCGCCTCCTCCCCCTCCCCGCCCGCAGAAGCCACCAGAGCCAGCACGACGGCACCTCCTCTACAGCATGTTAATTGCTGTTCAAGGGTTCAGGAGTGTGTCCAGCGGGTGGGCCCCAGGGAGTGGCCCTGTGCATCCTGTCGGGCGCACGCGATGCTGTCAAACACATGGGGTCCAGTATCTGGGGGGCAGTTTGGGGTGGGAGGTGCGGCCTGTGGTGTGCAGCTTGCGGAGCGCAGCCCATGCGGTGCAGCCTGCGGGGTGCAGTCTGCGGGGCGCAACGTATATGTCGCCGCGCCGTTTGTTCCGACGCGTGGGCTTCCGTCTTGGGGAGGGCACCTCGGCCACCAGGGCAATCGTCGTCTCGGACGCGGGCGGTTTGCCGTGGGGCTTGCCGCGGTATCGTCTCCTTGGGCGCGGGACGCAGGGTTTGCCGTGGTATCGTCGTCCACTTGTGCGCGTCGAGAACGAAAGGCGCGGCGACATTTGGGGTGCAAGGCGCAATACACTTGTCAGGAGGGGAAAACACACACAGACACAATTAATCGGCGATTCCCAGAAAATATGGGAAAATATGGGAAGTGGGGGGGAAGACACAAACCCAGAAAATATGGGAAAATATGGGGAGTATTTTTATTTGTGTGTATTTATTTGCGTGTCCCAGTTCCCCTTCAATTTGGTGCAATGTCCAAGGTGCAATCTATGGGCTGCACGGGCAGGAAACGGCCGAACGCGACAGCGTGGACCAATACGTTACAGCTCCAGAAAGAGGCCCTACGCGCAAGCACCGTTTGGGGAATCGAGCATCACCAATTCCACGTCCTCCCTCCTCCTCTCCCTCCTCTTCCTTCTCCCTGGCATCGTTCCCATCATCTACATCCGCCCATGCTGAGTGGCATTGTCGGGAGGCCCTCGACGAGAGGAACGACATAGCATTTCTTAACACATCGAGGGTTGTGGCTGCCTCGCGTATCCCAGCAGCCCATGCAGAAACGATCCTTGGGCCAGCTCTCGGAACCAAGAAAGTGTAGAAGCATACCGTGACTGGGCCAGTTGCCTTGACCAGGGAAGTGTAGGAGCATAGGCAGGACGGCCGCCCCGCATCACCTTCACGGTCTCCCTTCCTATCTTCGGTCGTGAGTCGAGGGGCCGTCGGCTTGCATATGGCACGCTGCATCGCGTCGTATTTGGCCTGGTCCGAGGCGAAGTGGTCCTCTTCGTCGTGGGCATGGTCGAAGCGCTCGGCGAGCTTGGCAGTCTGGTCGCACGGTATCCCCTCCCACGCA